GACAATCAAAGATTTTAGAAGCAAAATTACGAGGAAAATGAGTTATGGGGTCTCCGAATGCAATTACATGAACTGTTTGTCCAACCACCTTCTGAATATGCTATTTCTACAATCGAAAAAAGAGCTACTGCATTAAATAACAAAGCCGTACCCTTCCGAAGCAAGAATAAAGACGAAATTCATTATGTGATACAGCTTTCAATTCTAGCCCTAAAATTTTTGTTTTATTTTTACTGTTGGCGAAATGCTGTCAAAAACGATCACGTTCCACCCTCTTCTACCCCTTCTTTGCTGGGTTAAAACCATACCCATATGGAAAACAGTGATTGAAAGTATGCAGTCTTTAAGAATGGACAATCTTCGAGTGGTATATACCCGATTTCTCGCTTTCTATTCTGACAATCCTTCTGGACTTGACGATGGCGAATCGCCGGCGAAATGGCCATGTAAGGCAACTTTCGCCACTCACCCCTCGACCGAAACTGAATGGCCGCCAACACGTTTAACACGATTCAGTAGCTGAAGGATGGAACTACACAATGATATGCAGGAGAGTCTGTAAGTGTGAGCCACTTTTGAGATTTAATCCACTGAATTTGGCTAAAATCGCATGTTTCGCTAAATGGGTCAAAGGGGCTAAGTGTGTTTCCTCGGAGTTTGTATACAAAAAGGTGTCGATGATTATGACCTGTATTATTTTTAAGATAAAGGTTTAATTAAAGTAATAAGTAAACTGGAAACTTTGGGACGCACTCCTTTATCCGGAGCAATCGGTTGAATTTTAACAAGATTTGGATATTTTACAAGCATTTCGGGCCCTTATGCGGTGCCGAAAGAAAAATCGTTAAAAAAAAATTTACATAAGCGAATTTCTCCAGTCTAGTTTCATATTTGTTATATACTTACTGAAAGAAGTCTACAGCAAAATTACGAGCGAAATCTATTTTGTAGGCAAAACTCGATATGAGGATCTTACAGAGACTGGCTCGTAAGTCCAAAAATATCCCGCAGGAGTATATTTTGTTTTCAATGGCTCTTTGGATTTTATCAGTGATTAGCATAGAAGCCTGAGTAGTGGAGCGTCCACTAGGAAAACCAAATTGATTATCATCTAGTACATTATGTTTATCAAGAAAATAAACTAATCTATTGAACAGGAGCTTGTCCATTATGTTAAGAAAAACAGATAACAAAGTAATTGGTCTATAATTGGATACTAAAGCCTGGTTACCTCTTTTGTATAGGGGTATCACTCTCCCGATTTTTAACTTATCTGGCACTAAGCCTAAAGAAAAAGAACAATTAAAAAAATAAGATCATAGATAACACAAGATGCTCTTCAATAATTTAAGAATTTTCACTGGAATGCTATGTGACCCCAGTGATTTACTTGTATTTAAGGTAGAAATGATATTCTCAACTTCTGTTGCTGATACTAGTGAAAAATAAAAACTGTTGCATTGTCAATTTGTTAAATATTCCACAAAGGTTCTATTACCAGGTTGAATACTATTGGCCGACATTGGCCCAACTGAGGCAAAATATTTGTTGAAGGCATGAGCTATACCTTTGGCGTCAGTTAAGGTGTTACCATCTACTGTTAAACTATTTGGGAAGGACCATTTACTACGCTTAGAGCTAATAAGCTGCTTAATACCCTTCCATGTGGCTTTTGCGAGGGTTACTCCTCTATTTAAGCATGGCGAAAGAAGCGATATAGACAATTATCGTCCAATTTCAGTATCTCTATAATTGGAAAAGTATTTGAAAGAATTATATATAATCAATTCTTTGCCAATTTATCAGATCATAGTATTTTGTCTAAGCACCAATCTGCGTTCCGCACGCTTCATTCAACAGTTACAGCCTTATTGGAGGCAACCGATAGTTGGGCCTATAATATTGATATAGGTAATGTTAACGCTGTTGTTTTCCTTGACCTTAAGAAAGCGTTTGACAAAGTCGACCACCACAATCTATTGTCTAAATTAAATCCCTATGGTCTAACAGGTGTTTCCCATAAATTGTTCTCCTCCTATTTAGATAATCGTACTCAGAAAAGCGTTGTCAATGGTTCCCTTTCAGAATGTTGCACCCTCAAGTGTGGTATTCCGTAGGCAACAATATTAGGACCTTTACTGTTTTTGCTATATATCGATGATTTGCCCAATTGTCTGTCTCACTCTGTGCCAAGAATGTATGCTGATGATACCCATCTGACTTATTCGAATGGTAATATCCACTCCGTTCAATTATGCAGCGTTTTAATCGGTCTCTGCCCATAGTTCTTTATCCCTCTGCTGAGCGTGTGACTATTATTCGCTTTTTAAAAAAAATAGATTTGGAGGTAGACAATTGTCTAGTGTTGAAGTAAAAAGAAGACGATAATTTAGAAGTTTAAAGATCGTGTTTTTTGTTGTTGTTGTTGTTTTTTTTTTTGTGCCTGATTATCACACAAATAGGAGAGTCTTAATGGGGTTAACCCATAGGCGTAAAAAAATAGCCGAAAAAATTGAAAAATTTTAACCTTTAGCCGTAAATAGGGTAAAAAAAGAGCTAACAGTAAAAGAAATTGTTGTTTAGATTTGTTAATTTTAAGGAAGGTGCTAAACTCACTTGTGGTTCCGTTATTTATTTACCGGCTACTTTGAATCCGTAAGCACGTTAGACCAAGCGCTTTTTAGTTGTAACCTAGACCTAGGCTCCATTTCCGCCCCTCTCTCCGGGGAATTGATTTTTTCCGTAGCGAAAATCTGGCTTCTTGCCTGGGATTAAAATCTGCGATTTTCAGGAGGTCGTGCCGTAGAAATACTAGTGAAACAACACCCAGAGATATCACTGTTTGTAGAACTAAAACAAGTTGCTGATAAAATAATTCCCTGTAACAATTCCATGTTTTTCTCTGACGCTAAGGTAGACGTTACCATGCCCAGTCCCTGTTCGGCGTCTTCCCACGCAATCTCGGTGAAGGCATTTCGGTGGCGTATCTGAGGAAAAAATTCGCTCAGACCACGTCATACTAAACGCATTAGCCGCGCGGAGTAATAAGGCCTTGGACAAGGCAATGGCAGACGGTCTTTCTGTACTGTCCTTCGCTATCATTAAAAACACTGAACACGGGAATTTTGTCATTAGCTGTTTTCAAACTAGAGCTAGAAACGGATTATCCGTCTGAGACTGGCCTGTGCACAGTCGCCCCCTCCCCCACAGACACCCCTTCTCCGATTTTTTCTGGGGGGAGCGGGCGGCTGTACACAGGCTTTCTGAAACGGATAATCCATCTTCAAACTGTCCGTCAAAATTGACGGATAAAGTCAGGCGGATTGTTCATTCAAAATTAAAACCCTTTCCAATTTCAAATTAAGACACATTACCTATTTGACGCGAATTATCAAACCAATAACCCATCTCACACGAATAATCCGTCTCTAGTGTGAAAACGACCATTTCTGTTATAATGAATGTCCCTCCTGCCTTGAGTTGGGCGTCCGTGTGTCTGCTTCTGCTTTTTCACAAAGATTATTTTTAAATTGACTGTATTGGCATTTCTATGCGTAAAATGATATTAGAAGTGGAATACTTTATAACTAGTATGATGTAACAAATCCGGTTAAAATCTTTCAAAAGAATAACTTCATTTTATCCCGAGATGATCCTAAGACCGTTATTTTGCTTTGAAGATACAAAAAGTACAGGTTTATTAATATTTAACTCTTTGAAACAAAAGAAATTAATTTTTAACTTTTTTGTCAACCGTAACAGAAAAAAATAACCGATAGCGGTAAAAGAGGCAAAATTTTAGTCGATAACCGTCAAAGCCACCACCCCATTGAGACCCTCAAATAGTTTCATGAAAAATAGACTGAAACTGGCAAAAATGCGTCTCAAAAGGCCTGTATCAGTTAACAGCTAGGCCGTGCTGTTCTTCTCTTCCCTCGAGTTTATACGGTATGCAGAAGTTGCCAGATCTCAAAGGAACTTGGATAGGGGTGATTTGAGACGCCGAAAAGAAAGAAAAGTTTGGTAAAGTTAATTACACCATTAATCAATTTGAAGTTAGCCCGTCGAGTCTCGACGAAAACGAAAATAATAATTAATAAAGCATTTAAAACAAAAAGAATTTGTCCAATTACACAGGCAGTTCGGCACTGACGGCCAACTCTACTCCTGGATGAAGAATTATTTCTCAAATAGAAAGCTATTTCCGGTGATAAATGCTTTTGAACTGGAACTTCTCCGTGTTCAGCTTGATATTTCTTGCTCTACAACGCTCTAAAAGGTTCTTTAGGTTTTGATCATGGTCAAGGTCAGCCTTTTCATCAGTATCCCTTTGGCTATATACACCCCCTTAAGTCTCTCAAGGCATTGGTCGAGCTGGCGTTGGAAACACTTGGTTGCTGGGCAGATACCAAATGGCATACAGAGCCATCGGAATCTTCCCTTAGGGGTCTGAAATGTCGTGAGCTTGCTGTGCTCTTCGTCAAGTTGTGTCTGAAGGAGTCCATTCTTCAGATCGTCTTTTTTAACACTCTCCCTTTCGATAGCTCTGGCAAAATATCCTCCACCACAGGTAGTGGGTGGTGTCGACACTTCAATGCTTGATTTAGGTGCTGTTTGTCGATGCAAAACCTAATCTTTCCATTTAGCTTCTGAGTCGCAACCATGCTAGCCACCCATTCTGTAGGCTCATACTCTCTTCTGATTTCTTCGAGGCTCTCAAGGGGATTAAGTTCTTCCTTCAATTCTACCTTAACTGCTACGGGAACAAGCAAAGGAGGCATTACAACGGGTGACACTTCATCGTCGACTTCCAAGTGCAGCTTAACTGCCTCGCATCTTGCCCATGGCAGGATCCTGATACGTCAGCATCCTCTGATAGGACAATCTCCTATGTCAGGCCTTTTGATATTGTGCACTTCTGTGCACTTCGGCTAGCTCAGAACCCTTTGAGGGCTACCTGTCAGAGTGTGAGGTGTCCTGATGCTGAACTACCACCAGGTTCATTTTATGCACGCTTCAGCCCCGAGGAGTGGTGTAGATACATCAACTACCACAACACATTCTTCAGTATACTCAACGTTGTTTCGTGGGTTTCGCACAGTTGCTGTGACGGTGCCCAACACTCTCAGTTTGGACTTGGAGTAGGTAACAAGTTTTCGCATAGTTTTCTGGATTTCAGCATCAGCAGGCAAGTAGCTGCGGGGCGGGACATTGCAGGATACTCCAGTGTCCATCTGCATTTCAAAAGTTTTGTTCCCGATTTCCATGGCTGCATAAATTCTGCCCTTGTTGCTGCTGATAGTACTGACCTGTTCAGCGAATGACAGGACCCAAAGTTCACCCTCAGATGAGGGTTGCAAATCTTTGTGTACCGCATGTACCTTAGGCTTGCTTTCCTGCAAGTCTCTCTGGGGCTGTACTTTTCTTGGTGTCGTAAGTGAAACGGTTTGTAGGCAGACAGAACTGAAGTGGTTTTGGTTGGAACACTTTGTACAGGTCTTGCCATATCCTGGGCATTTCTCCATTCCTCTTTTATGTTTTCTGCTACAGTATTTGCACTCTCTCAGTGCCGTCCCCATTTTGGAGTCGTTTAGATGATGTAATGCTTCTGCTCCGTGGCTGGAGATCTATTTCAGCTGGATGTTTGCAGCTTCAGCTGGTCTACAATAGTTCATGCATTTCTCCAATCTCGGTTCTGCTTCTTGCAGCAGCTTCTTGCGTGGTCCGTTGTCTGAAATACCACATGCGAGTCGGTCGCTAATCATTTCTTCCATTAGGGATCCAAAGGCACACGGTAGCCAGTGTACAAAGTGCAGATGCATAGGTGTCAATTGTTTCTGCGGGTTCTTGTGCTCTGCATGAACCTTTTAGCGTTCATAAATCGTATTAGTCTTGCCTACGCAGTAATTACTCCACAACTCCAAGAGTTTATCGATCCTACATTTGTCAATTTGACAATTCCTTTTTCTAATGTCTAGTTTCAGAAAATATTATACCCCTCCCATTGAGGGGAATAGGAAATTAAGAAGGAAAAGGGGGTGAGAGAAAAAAATTACATAGTTTGGATAAAAGAAAGTTGGAATTGCCAGGGCAAGGTGGTCAGAATACACATTCCCTCTTGTGCTGGGGTATGAATATTATCTTAAACTGCAGTTATTATGATTTTTGTTTTGATTGTGAATAATGTCTCAGTTTTACTTGCATATTGTCTAAGAAACAAATTAATGCCTGACGTGTGCAAAAAACATACATTCCCACCCCTTTAATTATGCATGGTTTTTCTAAGCCCACCCCAGTACATACATGAAAACAGTGACCCACCCCCCTTGGATCATTATACGTTTCTGGGAAACTGCCCACATACCCCTCCCCAAAGGCCAACATTATGTCCTAAGTGAAAAGTAAGTGTTAATGTTGACCTAGGGAAGGGGAAGCAGGGCAGTTTCCCAAAAACGTATAATGATCTTCCCCTTATTTTTCCAGTCCCCCTCCCCCCGGGACTTTACGGTATAAGAGGTCAATAAATGGGAAGGATGACTAAAAAAATTCGGATCCGTATACGTTTCCAGAAAACTATCCACAAGACTTTGTCTAGCCATCTTGGCGTGGAACTTGATTCGATCAATGGAGTGCTGTCACTCACGTGGGCAGCAGCTAAGAAAACGGAAAGTTTTTACTTAATAAAAGAGTTTAACTCCCACTGGACTGGTAGTGGCGTCATGTGAAACGCTATATAGAAAAAGATAAGGCGCGAAACAATTTACAATAGTACGGCGGAACCACGCTTCGCAGAACCCCGTTTAAGACGGAAAATTTTCTTTTATTTTTTGTTTTATGCTCATGTTGCGGCTTCGGTCAGCTGACTCTGGAGCATTGGCAAGAATTCATGCAGTTCATGAATTGTGAACGATCAGCAAAAAAATGTTTTTATTATGAGGGTCAAATGACATCTTCATACAAATTAACGTTCATCATGATACAAATTTTTAATTCATGAGTTCATGGGGAACTTTCCTTTGATAAGGTTTTGCACGCATTCGCTCGTTTGGGTGTTTAGCGCGCCTAAAACAACGAGCAAGGAATTCATATGGAAGATATACGATCCATCCATACATTCAGAATAAGTTTATTTAATTAAAATGTCATGTTCCGTAAAGATTGATACAACCCCGCGTAAAACTACGTGTCGGTAGAATTCGAGAGAAGCACGTACGGTCCATCGATTTATCCTTGTTAAATTAGGGGAATACATTACATAACCCCTCATTATTGTTCCCTATCTGAAAATTTGGTGGCGGCTTTGACGTAATATATAAAACATAGGACGCAGTGTCCATGTTTTATCACCAGATGAAACACCGAGAAGAGAGTATTTTTGACGAACTGAACGGCGTTATATATATTTTGTTAGTTTTTAAAAGTTTCGAGAAAGCTCAAATTTGCTACGCTGATCTGAATATAAATATTCAAACTCTTTCTCGTTTAGGGCAAGTGTAAGTAAACATATGCGGTGTACCTTAGGAGTAGCAGCCTCCCACGCAGACGTTCTTAGGAATTCTTGACGTGTTCCTCCCCAATGTCCAAAGAACATTTGCGTGGGAGACTGCCCACGGGGGGAATTTACCAAAAAGTTTTATAGATTCCGGCTTCCGGAGGCCCAATCTTGTACCCTTTTTCTATACATTCCAGTAAAAAGTGACAGTCCTTTTAAATACTTACTTTTAAGAACGCTGCATACTCATTCCAAACCCTTGGAATGAAGTTGATAAGCAATATGACGGGAGATCAGCCATAAGTTGAGTCTGTTCGAAATATTAGTTTTAACAAAAAGCTCTTCTCAAAACCTACTTCGCAGCGTGGTGTAGGCAAAATCATAGAATCAAATTGTAAATTAGAAACTATACGACTACCCACTATCTGACCTTAAATGTTTATGTATTTTGCCTTTTTGTCCATATTATTGTAAACTAATTTAACTCTTTTTATTTTTATTTTTCCTCTATTCACACTAGACATCTTTCAACCTCGGAGAACTTCAAACAGGCCAAGACAAACCAATGCCGGTTTTAGCACTGAAGCACACGTAACAACTCCGCGGTATGGTCATTTCCTTACGCATGCGCACAACCATATCACCCCGGCGGTGGCAGCCATGGACAGTTGTTTCGCCCTTACTGGGGCTATCAGCTTGGCACAGCTGTCGGGTCTATGAATGAGCGAACCCGTGATTCCATGCAACCAGTATTCTCCTTGGAAACGCCACATCCCCTTGCGATAAGCGATTTCCCCATAGGTAAGTACCCCTAAGCTCACGAGTGAGAATCGTTGTTGAGTAACAAATACTATAATGGTTTGTATAAGCCGGATTTTAGCCATCGTTATTTAGAGATCAAAAGTAGTAATAAAAATACATAAGAATTTTTTTTCTTTTGTTAGCATGCTGTGGAAAAGTTATATTTCTTTCTCCTGTACCGATGAAGATTTTTATCTGTCGGTTATTTCCCAGATCAGTTTGAAAATAAATCCTAAGCGCATTAAATTGGACATCCATTAAGACTGCGTTTGAATTTAGAAAGCGCCAGATAGCTTCGTGATTCTAGTAACTGATAAGGGTCTGCTGGCTAAAACTAACAGCAAAAAGGATCTTGTCACTGCGGTCGACTGAACTGAAACGATTAACAGACTATTCCTGAAGTTAACCAACTGATGTTAAGAGGCTGAAGCAACTCTACGTTCTTACACCGAAAACGGAAGCTACTGGTAATTTACGTCCCATTTTTTACTATTTTTTTCCTGCGATACCTCAAGCATTAAATATAGTCGGGTGGTCAGTGTTAAGACTTATTAATAAGACATTTGAAAAAGTTACTAATTAAAATAACTTGCCGTCGGAAGCCGCATAATTATAAACGTTTTTGTTTTATTCCTTTGATCTACCGCAGAGGACAATCTAGGATAAGGCCCATTACAATAATGTTTTAAGAGACATGCAAAGCGAAGGGTTTTCCATATTCTCCATTGTAGTTTGTAAAACCACAATATGAATGTGAAAATGAAGGTGGAATGGTTCAATTAACAAGCGCATGAACTAAAGTCGGCTGAATCAGTAACGTTCGTGCCATTTTATCAACAGAAGTTAATTTCAAGGAGGATCTCGATGCTCGCCATCAAAACTTCTATCAGAATAAAAAATTTTACTAAATGCTACATTTTCTTGTACGGAATTCTAAATATTTTGGGCATTAAATAATCTGAGCAAGTCAACCTTTTGCTGTCAATAATGATTTCCATGGAGACTTTACATCACAAATGCTTAAAATGGATTATTTGATGTTAATGTTTGGCAAAGAGCAGCAGAGAAATGATCCGAGATCTGTTAAGGATCTGTTGAATTGTTTTCTCTTATATTTTTCTTTCCTGCCACTAGTAGCAGGCTCTAATTTTTCTTTCAGCCATATGTTAAATTTCTCTTCTTGCCGTCTGTTATGTCATCTAACCTTTTTTAAAACCTCTTATGTTAAAACTGTTAAAAAAATTAGCTGTAGAAGTTACCATTAAAAAGATTTTAATTTTTATGCGTCAATAATCCTCCTCGGAAAGTTGCAGATGGTATTAGTGAAAAAAAAAGTCTTGGCTTAATTACAGAGGCATAGTGACTATTAATTTCATCGCTGTTTACGAATCTTCGGACAATATTTAAACAGATGGCTTCCTGTCCATTAATCGCATCTCAAATTATTCATTGAAACCAGACATTTCAATTTGGACAGTTTATTTTTTTCTTCGAAAAAGGGGAGAAAGAAAAATGCATTTGACTTTAAATTCAATGACTTTACTTCCAATATCTTGTCTCCCGCGTTTGATAGTATCAAAAAACTTTCAAGAATGACCTAATTGGCATGTACTGTTTTATTCCAGTTTTAATAATCACCGTATTCCGACATTCATGATCAATTCTTTTATTCGCCTCTGACAATAATCGAGCTGACACATAAAATTGTATTCCAATTAGATATTTACCCGGTTCTGACATCAATTGTTTTTCCCTTTTATTGAATCCTTATTTATTAAGCAAAAAGTGTTCAGACACAATCGTTTCATTGGTTCACTTTACTTCTAAAGTTTTAACTTAAATAAAGCGGATGCTTCTCCGATATTTTTTAATTGGCAGCGAAATAATTAATTAACGCAAAAAAAATTGTTTTTGAGACGATAACATCAAGTAGATGCGTGGGCTGCATACGAAATGAAGTGTTTGGCGCGGAGAAAGTGAAAGAAAAAAAAAAAAGAAAAAGACTTCTTATACTAAGTGGATGAGTTCCTAGTTCCGCTGGACTGGCTAGCGGGTGTTAGTAGGTACAAAGAAAGAGTTTTTTTTTTTTTTCATTTTTTAAGTTCTGCTAGTTGGTGTTCATTCATTTAGTTCCCTTTTCTTTAGTTTTCAGTCGTCAAAACGCTGTTACATTGCCTCTGTAAATTGCTGAGTATATTTGAGCCAGACGTTTGAAATAAATGCGTCGATTGAAAGATGTAAGTGACGGTAATTTTTATTTCTTTCTCCAGTCCATAAATAAAATAA